AGTCTGGGGCTTGTTTTCCCAATACCCGGGGGACAGAGGAGCCTGACCGAGCCCGGGCTGGCCCGGCACGGCTAGGGGCTGCTTTGGGGGAACTGTGCCATCTCAGCAGGTAGGGGGGGCTGCGGGAAAGACGGAGAACGCACGGCGCCCGGGGGCGTCCGGCCCTCACCCGTGGCTCCAGCACGTAGTAGTAGCCCAGGGCCCGGGCCTGGCAGGTGAGTTTGCACTGGTCCCGGGGGGCCACCCCCGTGTAGCGCGGGACCCAGTCCATGGGCCCCGGAAAGCTCTTGAAGAGGTCGGTGCGGTGGTTGTAGGCGGCGCACTGCTCTTCGCGGAAGGTCAGTGCTGTCGGGGTAAAACGGCCGGTCAGGGTCCTCTTTCCTTACCACGTCCCACCGCAGCCCCTCCGTCCCAGCCCCTCAGGCCCCTGGACGGCGTGGCACCGCTCTCCCCCCCCCCCCCCCCAGACTGCCAGAGGAGGTCCCTGAACGGTGAGGTCTCTCCCCTCGACAGCAGGGGACGGTCCCTACACTCAAGGGACGACCGCCTCAGCCCCACCGTCCCCGCCTGAAGGCCTCTGTGTCTCCCACTCCTCACCTGACCCCGTTGGGCAGTCCTGGGTGTTGCAGGAACGGAAGCGGGTGCGGCGGCCCTCACAGTACTTGCCGCCGTTACGGGGGACCGGCCGCGTGCAGTCCCGGGAAGAGAACTGGACGCCGCCCCCGCAGCTCCGAGAGCAGCCGCCCCATGATCCCCAGGGACCCCAGCCGCCAGCCTGTGGGACCTGCAGAAGCAGAAAGGGTGCTCTGCCAGTAAGTACAGTCTCCCAGGCCCAGGGCCAGTCCCCACTCCTCCGGCCCCCTGCTTGCACCCCTGCCCTGGGACCTCACGTTGAAATCCTGAAGCTGGTCCACGTGGAGGCAGCGGCCACCCATGCAGGCCTGCGCCGGGCCGCAGGGGGTGCCATCGGCCCAGGGCGAATGCTTGGTCTGGCACATGGCATGGCCGTTGAGATGGCCGGAGCACCAGAGGGCAGCACAGGGCGGAGGCAGCTGCGGACAATGGCGTGAGTCAGGCCCGAAGGTCAGCTGGCACTGGCGATCGGCGTCATAGTCCTTGCCGGGGAAAGTCACAGGCAGATGCAGGGGCGCCTCTGGCTTGTCTAAGAGACAGTGCCCTGGGAAGGGGGTAGGGATGTGAGGTCAGCAGCGGGCTGAGGGAACGCTCTAGGTTGCCGGCTGAAAGCTTGGACTCCCTGGGGCCTGAGGGATCCTAGAATCCAAATCCCGAGGCCGGAGAAAGCTTTCAGCAGCAGAGGCAATTGACTGGGTGCTTGTTATGTGATGAGCCTCGGCTCAATGCCTGAGCGACGCTCTCTCGTTTAACCAAGAGACCTGTTTTACAGATCAGACACACAGACGCGAAGAAACTTACACTCACACATCTACGCGTGTCTAACGAACAGCATCAGGACAGGAACCCAAAGCCCTGAGTCTTCCTACCTGCTCTAAGCAACTACAGGGCTCTGGAGTCTGCTTCTTATCAGCAACCTGCCAAGTAGCAGGCCGTCCCACAGGCTTGCACACCTCAAGTGACGGGCAGTCACCTCCCTCACAGCGGGCCCATTCTAGTGTGAACAGGGCTGACCCTTAAAAGGTGAGATCTAATTCTACGACACCAAAAGTTGCCTGCCTTGGCTGTGCTATTTATTCTAGAGGAAGTGGGAACCACGCAACGACAGAAGCATTTCTCACCCCGTCCCACACTGCAGAGGAAACACATTTGAGGGAGTCAACTGGGCCCATGCAGAACGCAGCAGAAGAGAGAGTATG